CTAAATTAGCGGAACTCATTTTCTATCATGAACATTACAGAGAATACATATATATTTTGCATAGGTTCTGACTGACTTTATCAGTAGACTGTATGTTGACATCACTCGAATGACAAATGGAGAAAATTGTTTTTAACCTCTTCTGATCACATAAATGCATAAATGTTCCTTGTTGTAACCGCATTAATCAACTATGACTAATATTCAAGAGTATGTGATATATAGACTGTGTACTGATGCATTGAACAAAAGTGTTTTATTTAAACTGAATTTACAGTTGTTCATATTTGTCTTTGCGACTTTTGCATCTATAGGTTATATTCTGCAGGCAAATCCACCAATTGTATTCATACATTCGTTCTCTCAGAGTATAAATCTCCCCGCTTAGGAACCTAAAAGTCTGTTTAGAAGTGCATTATTTAAGGATTAACCTTTTATTTTGTTTTGTTTATGAGATAATAAATCCAATGGAGCACGAGGTAGTTTGCGTAAACGCGAACTATTTATGAACAATTTACCGACTGCTTCATTGGATTTTTTATCTCATAAACTAAACAAAAAATGGTTAATCCTTATATTTGCAATATTTTCTTTTAACATCATTAAAAGAGGCCGATACAAGCCTTTACTTTGTGTAATCTGCGTTAAAAAATATTTTGACGTCATGTTAATCCATGCGAAACAGACGTTTGCAAAAGTCGTTGACAGACAGATAAACCCGGCCCACTTTATCCGTGACAACAAATGAAAAAAGTTCCCCTATTTCAATATTTTATTCACATAAAATATCCATATTTAACTTTGGAATAAATAATTTTATATTTGTATGAAATTGATGTACTGGGGCAAAATACTTAGTAGAAAATACTAATGACCGCGGACGTCGATAATATAAATGTGATGCGCCCAAAGGCGTGAAATAGATAGTGCTATCATTTCGTCGAGCGATAGTGACTAGCCTAGGCCTGATGGAAGTTAAATGTGCAGTTTTTGAAATTGCTGTTTGTAAGCAAACCAGGGGTCTGTACAGATGACATGTACACTGTAGGATGTGTATAAATCGTTTGTCGACCGAGTGACTGTTGATGTAACATTTAGGATGCGAGAAATTGGACCTACATTTCTAGGAAAGATAGCCATCGTTTCTGTGCCGACACTAATAGATCAGAGAGTGTAGCGTTTTTGTATCGACGAACAATCGCGACTGTAGCTTTTGACACTAGCTTCATTGTTATGACTGGTCATGAACATGATCTGTCTTGTCTCGAACCCGACAGCATTTGGTCTCTCGAACGCACGGTTGTCTTAATGCTAGCGTTTTGTTTGTAAACATTGACACGATGTTTGCGGAAAGAAGTCTGCCCATATCTACATATAATCATACGCGGTGAACTGGCTCAAGTTCTAAACTCACGTTTTTGAGAAATAAACAGACTTGCCTACACTTACGTTATCGATTCCGAAACAGTGGTAATTTTAAATATTTGCTTTTAAAACAGTAAAAGTCATGCGTTAATGTTCAGTTTGACTGCAGTTGAACAATATGATTTGTTGAAAACCACATGTCTGTTAGAAAGAGTGTAAGTTTCAAAACATTGTAAGGATGTACTCTTCTGTGCTTTAAATCACGTTCAAGTCGCGTTTTGATATCATGCAATGGGTTTTTTTGTAATATTAAACAAATAATGATCAATTTTAATTGTAAAATATGCATTTGAATAACATTTCAAACACTAGATACACGTTGTTTGTAGAACATTTTTACAATACCTTAAAGAAATGACAATTTTTCTTGTTCTTTAGGAAAGTTTCACCTTTTTTGACACTAGATTGATCGCAGGTTTTTATTGTAGTTACAAGTTTATTTTTGCGTTACAACTTTATAATGTTCAATAGGTCGAAACTTATATGCAACAGAGTGGAAAATTGTATATTTCTTTTACATATTTAGTGCTACTGAAAGACTTTTTATGTTTGATCCCGAAACGGTTAACAATACCAGAAATAATAAAAGGACATAAAAAATGAAGCATTTTGATCCCTCTCTTTTGTGAATTTTTTAGAAAGAGTTCAACATTTTCTTTTGATTCAAATTCATACATATCTGATAACACACTTTGGAGATATTGTGTGAAACCGCCCTGCAATTGGTTAAAACCAAAAAATCACATCGATTTAGAACAAAAACGAACACACAGATACATTTTGTTCATCCTCTGCTATGCTCTTAACTGTTCGTTTTTTCTCAAACAAAAATACATATAAGAGAAAAAAAGTTTGATACTGGAATATTTTGACTTCTCAGATGGTGTACATCCATAAGTGATGCATTCTATTAAAAATATCATAATATAATCATATATACATGTAACTATACAAGTTGATAATTACATTGTGATCTACGAGTCTCTATTCCTTTCTGTATCTAATTTTAGTATATGTTACTATGAAATCATTAATTTTCATCGGGTTTTAAATTTTGTGGATTAACTTCATCCACGAAAATTAGGTCTACGAAGTAATTATAAGTTTGATATAAAGCATTTCTCCGTTTGAGTGGATTTCTCGTTATCCACGAATTCATGTTCCAACGATATGGTGTTTTGTTGTGAAACCAGGGAATGTGGGCCACACGAAAATATCTGATTTCATAGTATAAAGGTAAAATTACATTCCATATACTGCGCAATAATTTCGGCAATACGTACGGCAACTCTCTGGTTCATCAGACCCATCACCACAGTCATCGTGACGATCACATTTGAGTGACAGTGGCAAGCATGCTCCAGACTGTCCACATCGAAAATGTGCTACATGCTCACATGGTCCTGTGTCTATAAATAAATAATTGAAATTTAGATCTTCATATGATAAGCAATGACCTTATGCGAAGTGGTTGCATCCAATCATCACTTTTAAAATAAACTTCCACCTTTTGTCACATAGCGGAAAAAACACCAAAGGTAAAGAAAGTATTATTGTGTATCATTCACAAACGACAAGCTGTCCGCAAGGAACAATGATTTTACAAGTGAACACAAATATTTATTATTATTGCGGACCGTAAGAATTGGCCAAATTGTATTCACCTGAATTTTTACATAGGAGATCCAAGGCGACAGCATTGATCAAATTATTCATAAAGGACTTAATAGTTCACCTTGAATATTGTTTATGTTGTATAATAACTTGCTGGTACTGATAAATCTTATTTTTTATTTACTGATGCCGTTAATATGAGATCAGATATCTTGTTTGTATCGGCCAAAGCGTCATACATATTTTGTGTGGAACCATTTTGACGTTATACTAGTGATGATATCACTAAGTTTCACGTATCGTACTTGAAGATTCTTGTAGAGTTGTACAAGGCCTAGATTTCAATAGGACTGGCCGATGACTTCAATTCTACTATTCCTTACTTCGCCTGCATCTAATTTCATGGTACAGTGTTTGTAACATAATCGGCAGAAAAGTTAGATTCTTAGTTTAGCAGCATACAACTTTTCACTTTCAAGTTCATTCAGCGACAATTCCTTAACATATATAATAGATAATAATGCACCATAATTAAAAAGCTATCAGATGAAATTCCAAAACAAAATAATGTTCTCTTAAATGAGTTCCATTTAAATCTCTATATTTTTAACTAGGATGTTTTCTTAGATTTCTTAACAAAAATAATCAGTCGACAGCAATGGAAGCTTTACATACCAGGTATTTCATGCCATTGATGTTTTTTGTTATTTTTGACCGTCAATATCGCGCAAACATAGGAAAATTGATTTCGATGTGTTATCATAAACATGTATTGTAGCACTATCTTTAACCATTTATAAATTTCAGTAGAAATACATTTCGAGGATAATACTACTTTTTAGTTGCCAGAGACAAAATCTAATGTAACGTAATATTATCTTCTTTTTCTATCGCCGAATTTATTGAAAAGTTTAGCAAGGCTGGTAACAAAAACCTTATCATGTCCTACACTTTTTTATCTTCACACATATCTACGATGTGCAGTTTGTATCGAACAAAAAAGCTATTGACATCGTATATGGTATTTGTCTTTAAGAGCCTTCAATCAAGGACTCTACACGACTTACAGGTCATTTCGCGCAGAACATACAATAAACATATACAAGAACGGATATATTACATTCAACCCAAAGGATTAAATTGTTTTAAAGATGCAAACACCATCAAGAGCAAACAAACCAAATATAAATTAAATCCTATTTTATCAAAAAGTGAATTTAATGTAAATAATTATATAAAAATAGCACCGAAAATGTATCACGCTAGCTTTTAATAGTCGTTACATTTTTTAAAAACATTTTTGAAATCCAGCACATTCAAATATAATATTTGACAGTAAATGGCTGATAAAAGCACATAAGTAAGGTTTGGTTTGTAAAATACAAGCGAGTATTAAGTATGACTTATAAGTAATCGCAAGAGTACAACTTCATCACTACAGTCTTCTACACGTGATGCACATAAGGCTATAAAGTTGCACTCTACCCAGTTACATATTTTTCAGTTGTGATTACACATGAGTCCTAAAAGGATGAAACAGTTATAAATTGCAGTGTCATTTCCTTATTAACATACTATATGTATCAACAAATTTTACAGGTTCAATCCCATATGTATGTCTTAAATCCTTCTTTGGGAATAAGCACATTAGTATATATTTTATTGCAATCATATTATGTTAACAATTATAGCAGTACTTAAGTTACATTGTTTTAGTTGTGATAGTACATTCACAATGATCGAGTTTATGTAATTTGACATATCCAATTGTATTATATTGATAATTGTAGCGTAGCTTTAGCTCTAGATTAACGGTTGTTTTAGTATTATGATGTCAGTTATAACTTTACTATAGTTAGATATTAACGATTTCAACAATTAAATATTAACGATGTTTTGATGAATTAAAATAAGAAAAAACTCAGCTTTCATTTAAAAGAAATATGAAATAGAAACTCCATTCAACTGGATATCTTACAATTGCAGTTCATCTCGTCAGACGTATCATCATGACAATCGAAATTTCCATCACATCGGAATGACATAGGAATGCAATTTCCATTGGCGCACTGGAACTGCTCTATTGTGCTTTCTTCGCAGTGATCTGCAAATGATTTTGATAATAAACATATATAATCTGTTTTGTTCAATCACTTATCTCTGAACAAACGTTCTTCATGAGACAAAACATGAGAATACTGAGGTGTCAATAACACAATAAAACAAACTCAAAACAAAAACAATATAAGGCAAAGTTTGAACAAAGGAGAGATTTACAAAGAGACCCATGAAAAGAAACAATGATAATAAGACCAGGTATTACATAAGGGTATGCGTCTTCCGCCATGTTAGGCAAATTAAATCAAAGTAATTTCACGTCCTCAAAAAACAGCCTGCGGTAGTAGTGACAACAAAAGCACAAGGCTCCCTTATGAGCGTAACTAAAACGATCAACCCTCATATCAAACAAAGAGATCATGAATACTGCATTTTATAAAGAATAACATATACAGACAAACTAATAACAGCATCAGTATTATCTTAGTAGAGATGAGATAATACAATATTAGCTACTATCAATGAAATATTTCAATCTAGTCTTAAAAACAATCTGGGTGGTCGTGAATATATACTTACATAAAAAGCTAACCATTTGAGTAATACATGTAAATGGATTGTATGTAATTCAGTTTTGACGATATTTACTTCATTTTACAAAAAGAAAAGCAAACTATATTTGTATTTTACCGGCAAGAAATTAATATCAACAGTTACAAGTTAGCATTTACCACGGCTTACTAATGTAGCTCAAGGTGGTAACGAGTAGAATTTACTTGTACACTATAACTCCAAAATCCTTTGGATTTCATATTTTTACTTAAGGTTTTGTACAATGTGGAAGGTGTTGTTTTTTTGTAATATGCCTTCACAATACTTACAGGGGCAACCAATCTCATCAGCTCCGTCCAAACAATCATGCATCCCATCACATTTTTCAGTCATGTTGATGCATACACCATTAAAACATGTGAATTGTCCAGGTTCACAAACTAAAATACAAAACAAATTTGAATTGAATTGAAATGCTTCATTTTATAAAGAAAAATCCTCAGGCATAAAAACAATTCATGTAAAGGAAGAGCTAGTTGAATTCAGCTATAATTATATTTTACTGCTTTCAAATACGAAACAGAAGCAAATAAAAAGGTCGATAGTCATCTGTTTCAAGGAGATACCTTTTTGAAAAAGAAAAAAATATATCTTTGAGGACAAGAACAAACCCATTGATGGTTGTGTTCTTATTATGATAAAATACATAACGTTAGCTCGGAAATATCAAGAAATAAACAATATATTAACAGGATGAGGGAACAGGCTGGCTCGGAATTTGTCGATTATCAATTAAGTCTATTATTTATATTTTGATACATTTTGGTTTTTCGTTCATGTGGACTAGTTTCAGAATAATACATTTAATAGATAAGTAATACATTAAGCTTATCACCAGCGAATCAATCAAGATGTGTTTGATAATTTGTTAATATTGTAACGAGTTGATTTTAATATGCTGCTGGTGCACATTCATACGTGTTTTGAGTTAACTGCTGGTGTGACCAATGTGTAATTCATCACCAAAAGGACATACCGCGCTATTATTCACGAAGTATAACAGCTTTTGAAAGTCCTTTTTGGCAATTTTACACACATTGATTTGCTGATGTAGTAATTGCAGATGAAGTGTGTGTTATGCGTTTAGAATATGTTTGTGTGTACAGAGACATGAACAGAATATCAGCTGTGATTCATGTTAAAACAAAACTGCAGTAAGTTTATATAAACATGACGAAAACAAAATACAAAACAATTACCATGCCCGATTGTATTATTGAAGAAAAAAACATTACATAATTTTGCATTGTCTTACCGCATTCCGTTTCATCTGAACCATCGCGACAATCCATCACTGAGTCACAACGGAAGATCTTTTCTATACAACTCTGTCCATCCGTGCAGCTAAACTGGTCATCTGTACAATTCAGCGCACATTCTTGGCCTTCACACTCAAAGCTGCCTCTGATGCAGGTACTGCAGATAAAAATGAAATGAGATTAGCTGACATAACAAACGATAGCGCTTTATATAGTATGCTGAGTTATGATTGCGTCAGCTTAATCTCCTTTATAATGTGTTCGTTGCATATTTCGTGAGTGTGCCATTTCATCAAGGCAATACTTGATTAAAATATGATAGTACGCTCAACTAAGTACGTTTATTAAAATTATTCAATAAATTTTATGCATTTTCAAATTAAATTGTAATCACTGAAACAGCTGAAGAAAAATTATCCGCTTGGTATCAATGAATATGGAGCATTTATTTGACCAAAGATTTGTTTATTTTTTTACAGATTTTACATCGTTGAAGTAGGTTAGGTCGTATGAATGCGTTGTCCACAGATAATGAGTCAACACAGAAACTAAAAAATAGATCCATCTCTTTAAAATTTCTCATGTCATAAAGTGGATACGGCAGTATGATACTACGTCCAGTCACATAACTAGAGATAACTATAAGCGATTGAGCTGAAGCGACTATGAATTGTTTGTTTGTATTTTGTGTCTTATCAAGAGCTATGGTAATTTAAGGACGTGCCAGGTTTTTTTGAAGGAAAAGTGCCTGGATAAAAATCACCGACCTGCGGCCAGTACCTGTCGACTGCCCCATGTAGGCCTCGAAACCACGACGACCCATATGAGGGGGGGTGGGGCTAGTGATCGTAGACTGTCAGACGCCTTAAAAAAATCGGCCACCGAGAAAAGGAACAAATAAGTGACAGGAGAGAAAATATTTAAAAAAAAAAATCCCCATATGTTTCAATGTGAACAGTAAAACTCGTTAATACATTGGGGTCATAGTATGCATTCCTCTTAGGATCACACAAAAAAAATTAATTCGATCAACTCTTTGTAACCACAAAGAACCTGCTGTTGGCATTTATTTATTTACAGGATATACCCATGTTAAACTGCTAAACAGTTTATCATACTTATTTACTCTCTGCAGCTCGTATAATTTTCTATCAATAGCCTGATTAATTCTTCTAACTTTTGTAGTTCTTTTGAGAGGACGTACCATACTTGGCAATTACGAACAATAGAAGTGTTATATGGATGCGGGATGGATTCGTGATAGCATGGACATTCATCAGCAGGAATACATCCGTCCTCTGAAAAAGGCAGGGTTAAAATTATGTATGGTACGACAGATTATGATTTCACGAATCACACGATCAAACATCCATAACAGTTTTAGATTTACCGTATGTAATAACATAGATTTAGAAATTGTGAGGTTTTAAAAAAATGAGTGCCCTTCATAACGGGTATTACAAAGTAGAATTACTCGTAAACAAAATTAGAAATTAATTATTTATGTAGATTAAATTTGTTAATTAGCAATTATTCATTCAAAGTTGAAAGCAATGCACTACCATCAACTGCATTGTTTATATAATTACAGCATCGATTGAAAATTTATTCTAAAGAAATGTTGTTTTTGACACCTATCATAACTGTAAATCAATTGTCTTACCGTGTTCAATAAATCCCTCTGGACACATGCATCCCTCAACGCACTGTGTTGTGTTGCAATAAGGTTCTGGCTCATCCCCAATGTTTTTGCAAGTCTGGTGGCATGGAGACATACATGCCGTGTATACTTTTCCTTTCTGACACATTATTGCTGTAATACATAAAACCAGGTAATGAAAACATTTGAATTGAACGAAACTTGATACCAGGTTACCCCTGTTGTGCTCGATTAAGTAAAGAATCACAGGTAGGAACATTTTGGTTTAAGCACAACGGAAACAAATCATCTCATTGTTAAAATGACATCCATTTGAGTGGGGATTGAACCACGTTCTGTCTCTAGGTAGACATTTGCTCTTCATCCTGCTGAATGTCCCTTTTCTCTTACTTCTCTCCCAAAGTTTAAAGTCAGGAAAAAGTTACATTGATAATTTAACAATATAGTGAGAAAGATTTATTTAGAAAATGTCAAGAAATAGCCCATAAGATGAGTTAGAGTATTAGAGGGGTTCTTCATATACAGGCCCTAGTCACTTTACTTTATATGTTCATGGTTCAAAGCAAGCGATGCTTTGGTTAGATTATGGACAGAAACACATTCCGGCAAGGTTAGTCAGTCGATCAGGTGTTTAATGTGGCTAAAATGAAGATTACATTCTCTGTGCTTCGAAAAGGGAGAATGTGACGCAAGTGTAAATACAACATAATAAAGCTGTGTAGGTTAGCAAATTATCATCGGATTTCCATGGGTTTTTTTACCCATATTACTTACAGTAACATTCTCACAGCATCAATAAGAACCCACAAAACCTTGCACTGCTAACAACTGACAGACAATTACATTTACATTTTAAAGTTGTTATTCATTTACTAATTATGCTACTACTTACGGCAAAATCGGGGTGAACGCCATTCAATGCTGACACGTTTTCTGTTACAAGCTTCGGCATAGTTTGCAATGGAGTTGCACAAACATTCACAGTCACCGCCATTGTCACAGCTTCAAGTGAACATAATCAACAATCATTGTAGAATTCTAACATACTGAGCGCAACAACAATTTTGTAAATTATTTTGTTTAACCACATAATAAATTAACTGCGGGAAAAAAGGTAAACACTTCCAGAGTAGTTTTTTTTATATAGACTGATTTCCGCTTTATTTTATTCCCTTTGCATCTACCACTGACCATGTTGCTTAATTAACAAAGTCGAGAAGGCAGGTTACAAGTAACAAATTCTGCAATATTTATGATTGGAGCCTTATGTACGGTTATATATATTTGGATGATTTACGGTTAGATATGTAAATTACATACGTATACCTATGAACTATGTTAAATTATATATGAAATATGTACGGTGAGATATTAGCATGTACAAATAGACTTTGAAACATGTACAGTCATTGAATGTATATACAGTTGATGTTTGTAAAGGTTCCAAGTATATACAATATCACAAACAAGCTGAAATCTTTGATAAAACAGATGAAACACTCATTTTGTAAAACCCTTTTGGAACATTTTATCATAAGGAAATTTGAAGATAATCAAGCAGTTGAAGTATTTCAGGATTTTCCTTGAATGTGTGCACTATTAATGTCTTTTCTCGATGTAGAAGATAACATGGTTTGTAATAATTAAAACTTAAAATGTATTTACCTGCAAGCATCATACAAACATTGATCATAATATGGTTCAACCGCTACTTCATCACGACAACGTTCAAAGAGTTCTCCATTGAGAACGGCACATTGTTCTTCAGCCCATTTCGTACGGTGACTAAGATGACCCTGCATAGAGAAAATCCACGTTATCACAAGCCATTCGGATTAATATGTCTCGCCTTTGCCCCGCTTTAACCATCAATGCACATATCAGAGAAACCTACTTAAACGCAAAAACATTACGTTAATTGATATGCTAACAAAGTCAATGGACCATGAAAGATAGGCTGCATTTGATGCATTTGATTTAGATGTACTACCTTAGATACATCTAAGGTTCAAGTTTGGTTGGTTTTGGACTTATACTTCCAGTGAAACTAACTTAAACGCAAAACAAACTTAATGTTGACGCCATCCGTCGCTGGAAAAGTAACACCATAGTTTCGCTTCCACTTCGTGGCGGCGAGACAAAAATGAAATTCAACAAGACAGTCATTATACAAGTTTCTTGGAATTCTGAAGTTAGTCTGAACAAATTTATTGTAAATTACGAACATGTTTGAAACATGGAATTGATATTATATATATAGTAGTGTTTTTTGCGAATTTGGAACGTTTCGGCAATTTCAAACATTCCTATTATTATTCAAATATGATCGATAATCTAGATTTCTGCTTCCAAAGAATAATAAGAGGAATTATCAATCAGTAAGAGTTATTTTTGGTAAATAATCGGCATCATAATTAGCCCTATCCCGAGTTTATCTTGGTATACATATTTACATTCGAAATGCCCCGCCCTGTACAATATTAAGAACTGATAACACTGTTCAATCGTTCATAATATTTGAAATCAAATCTCAAATCAATAGCCTAGCCTTAATCAGTAACACGTTTATGATGTATACGTACTTCACATGGTGTGAATGTTGTGGTCGAGTCGTCGGCACAAATCGATGATGTTTTATAGGTGTTTGCATGTAAATTGCCAGAAGAAGCGGGGCCCCCGAGATCATCTTCAGTGTCCTTATTATAGTTTCCACAAAGACCATCCATATGAGATTTCCATAATTTTCCAACAAAAATGTAAACTCGTGTTCCTGCTCGCAAAAACAAAACAAAAATCAATTAATTAAAGGTTTACAGACTTTTTTTACAGATCCAAAAACTATTCGGAACATCACCAAAGACACTTGCTTATCAAATCAATATTTAAAAGCTGCTATACATTTCATTTATAGTGGAACATATGTTAATTGAATGTTCCGCATATGAAAGCTTGTGTCAGTTAATTCACTATGTTAAACCTTTTTAATTTTATTTTTTACGCATACCATGCGAATGCTTTTAAAACTATTTATTTATATCTGTTTTTATCTTCGTTACGAACATGTTCGTTTTCAAAATTAAATAAATAAATCACCATGGCCCTAATTGACCACAGCTGTCGATGGGCCATTAAACACAAACAAACAAACAAATTATTCATTTTACACTATCACATTTACTTTAACATTGTCAATAAAGAGGACAGTATAATAGCAACATCGAATTCAAATGATTATATTAGAATGCAATACAGCATGGATTACATAATATCTATTAAATAACTTACCCTCGTCCCACATTATTGAAAGTTGATAATCTGGAATAGCCAAAACGGTCCAAGGAAACTCCACAGACAAATGGGCTTGATATTTTCCAATCGCAAACGAGTAATAGGAGGCCTCAACTTCTTTTTCGTCAACTTCAACTGCTTTCCCTCTCACCATTTTAACCTTAGCCGATCCCATTTTAAAAAGAACCATTCGAGAGCATGGCATCGAAGAAATGCCGCAATTCAAACGTGTGATTTGAACTTCAAAGTTCACCATGTCTTCTAAGTTAATTGACTTTGCCATTACATATGTGCAATCTCCGTCAAAATTGTAATCCACATTATCAAATGTTCTAAAATGAGGCCCTCCGGACACCCAGCACACATCTGTAGTTAGAAATAGGAACAGTATTTTCATATACATTTTGTTACTTAATAATTCGTCAATATTAGTGTTAGAGATAACATTTTACTGTCATTACTAACTTAAACATCAGTATTATACTATTATATATGCATAAACGAAATATATAAAAACATTTGTTTTTCTTTTTGAGCAGAAGATGGTAATTGTTACAAAATAAATCAAACCTCTTGGACTCTCATGTGTTCCACCTCCTGAACAAACGCAAATGCTTTGAACTACGGTCTGATATTTGGCCTACTAGTCTTCTACTTGAAATCGAATTATCACATTGATGAATATTTTAAGGTGGGGTACCGATTAGAATCATGATAAGCGAGATATTATACAATGAATGCAATGTAAACAAAATAAGTTGGGGGGGTTCTGAATATAATCATACAATATCGTTTATTACATACCTGGACAGTTCTTTTCTGCAATCACTACCCACTTGCGATTACTACATTTACTGTAAAACAGAAATAGGTATATTAAATACAGCATCAATATAATTATCTTACATGCCTACATTGGTAGTAAGATACTGGTGTGGTGTTGGGTGTGCAATGCAACCAGGATGTATAGGTTAAGATATTTGGTCTGAAGCAAACAATTAGAAATGTGAACTTGTTTGACAACATTTGACTCAATCTCTCAAGGCGACATGGGCCAAATCAGTGAAAGTTATTAAACAAATCTCTGCATAACAAAGAAGCATCGGATCATGATATTTCTCCTGTAGCGTGCTTGGATACAGAACACGCATGTGAGACATATTTTAAATATTCATAAGGCCGTGTGTAACTACGTCATTGTTGCCAGAAGAACTTTATTAATTCTAACATCCTTTAATCGCCGCAAAGGGAACATTCGCTGGTAAATGTAAAACAAAACGTGCAGGAATTTGATAAGTTAAACATTTAAATACTTAAGCAGAGGGAAAGTTTAAACATGGTTGTCATTGAAACCATGCTGAATTGAAAATCTCAAAAAGATAAGAACACTTTGTGTAGTATTTTTGTGTTTTTGATCGGCGCTTGTTGATTTGAATTAACAACACATTGTCTGAGGCCGGTATCGATATGTTCGAGTGTACCCTGCACAAAGGACTTGCTAATTACTTCAAAATATCGAAATATTTTGACAGTGGACAGCTCATTGTATTGGATTTTGGACTGACCAGGAATAACAAACATTAAAGTAAGCGTCACTAAGGTACGTTAACCGCTGAGCCTTGAGTTGATTCTTGTTGTGGATTTGTTTTGGAATGTCACTTGTTTAGACGGTTGCCTTGCCGCCATGTTTATTTTCAAATTACCATCACTTTGTGTGCTATTTTTCTTGGAATCTCCTCATAAGTTTCAACTGAGTTGGACCGGCATGAAGGTAGATCTCTCATTTTAAATAGGTACCCAGTACGGAGCTAAGATAGACCAGCGTTGCTGTCATTCGTTTTGATTGGCTGTACAAATAATAGGTTTAAAATCTGTAAATGGTAGTTTGATAATTGTGTGTTGAAGATTTAACGCATGTTTTGCTACGCTGTCAACAAATTCGTTGCCTTTAACTCCGACATGGCATGGAACCCATAGTAAAGTAGTTTTACATTTCTTTAAGATAAGAGAGATGCGTAAAGTAAGGTTAAGTACGAGTGTGTTTTTAGGATCTCGTAACTATAAACTTTGAAGAACAGATAGAGAGTCTGTCTTGTAGTCGAACTGAAGTGCAAGAAATAGCAGAACAGCAGGCTTCTGCCACTTTTTGACCTTCTTTGGAACAATCGGTGTAAACTTGTGTATGAAAAAGGTATTTCGAAAAGCATTACCGAAAGGAGGATTGGTGTTTTTCGGGAATAACACTGGATTTCCCTCAGTCATGTAAAGTTAAAATCAGAAGTTTGTATGGTCCATGGACGAACATCGGATATGTAACATGCAGCTATGTAAGTCAACTTTATGTTGAGTTCCTGCAGGAATTTTAAAACTCGGATACCAAATGTTGGCAGAAGTTTTGGCTTTTGCGTAAATATGTTTCAGTAGTTTGGGTTGAATACTAAACTATAATACCAGTTTTTCCTTCCATCATAAAGGAATGATTCATTCGCTTCCACGTAAAAGCTTTTTCCTGGTGTTATTCGAAAAAATCCAAGTCCTAGACGTAGCCCTCGGTTATGGATTGGGTCTAATCTATGCAGGTAAGAACTGCGCGCCGAGCTATATACCATAGAGCCATACTCGAGTTTTGTTCAATTTCACAGTTCGCTCCCCAATTATTACGAGAAAGGATTCGTATACAGTTTAACGCATTAGAACACTTATCTTTCAGATACATTATATGTGGTATGAACAAGATTTTCTAATAAAAAAAGGAGGCTGAGAAATTTGGTCTGTTTAGCGACAGGAATGTTAATGGCATCAAGTGTAAGATTTGGGTCATTGTGTACTTTTCGATTCTGACAGAAATGCATGCACACTTTTTTAATTATCTGTGATGTGTAGTGGATTCGTTTTACTCGTGATATGTTATACGATGGATTTCCTGTGAGGATTCTCAAGTTCTGTTGGCCAGCCATGTCTGGGACTTGTGAGCCCGAGGCAAGATTGTCCTCAGATACTTGCAGCCGAAGAAATATTTGCCTCGACAAATCGGATTACAAAAATATTCACTAAAGGTATAATAATTATAATTAGTTCATTCACAGATAATTAAATTTAGTTCATTCACAGAAATTGAAATCAGAAAACTTACTAGACTTTACAAGAATGCTCAATCTCCGTATTTGGCATGTGGTATTGATTGCGATTGTCTTTACATGGGCAGTTTTCTTTTGTTACACAGGTTCCCTGAAACAAAAATGCGATATGTTGTTTGTTTAAAAGTACAGTGTCCCAGAAAATTAATGAAGAATGTTCATATTTGTTACAGAAAAAAAACACTGAATTAATATAATTTCTTCGCTTTGCTGAGCAGGTAACAAAAGAGGATTTTATAACACAAATGTTTTTCAAAAGACAAAATATAAAGATCGAATCAATAGCCATTGAACAGATTTGTCATCGACAGGTGTGAAACTATTCAGTTACACGCATAAAAACATTTGTACAAAACATGCCCATTTCTTTCATAACATGAATACATCACACCTCGAAGGGACAAAATCAGGACCGTCAAATTTTTTGAATGTATGAGACTATACACTTCTATTTAAACTGAATCTTTGATGATCAGATACTTAATAAATACACAAAAACAACATTGATATATTAACTAAAGACTCTGAAAAGACAGGAATAAGCAAGAAATAATAATTTTATCATAAAATACCTAATTGTCTTCTGAAAATACAATGATCGATTTGAAGAAACGTAGATCTATTTACAAGTTGAAAACAAAAATTATTACACCGTTATGACGATATAGTTTTTAAGTATTTCGTAACGTACATCGGGAGTTTTATAATGGTTTTCAGGACACCCGCAGCCGTCATATGTCACATCCGACTCGCAGCGGCCCTTGCTGTCAAGCGTTTCACAGGTGAGTGTGCATCCGGATATTCCTTTCTTATATATTTGGTTTTTAGGACATACAATTTCAACATCACAGTTGTCATTTTCGCAATCCCATACCGCATTGTGACATGTACTGTAAAGGAAAAGACAAAATGTAACTTCATTGAGGACAACCAAAAACACAATTATTTTACATCTAAAAATAAGACTTAACAAGATGCCGCAAATTCGACCAAGCCTATGAAAGTGAACAAAACAATAAATTAGGTATGATTGTATAATAGGTTTAAAGAAAAATATGCAAGCCTTAAGTTACCTGTGATTACATTAGAGTAAATTCCAAATGCGTTTGGATAAAACACATCAACGAAATATGTGTATGCCATGTTCGATATGAAATAATTGAGTGATAATCAATATGGTGTAATATCAAACTGAGCTAAACATTTTAAAATCAGAAGCAATATGTTAAATTCACTCAGAGGTTTAGCATTTTCATAGAAATTAGAAAGAAAAAAAATCATATTTCAATAGTTATTTTGTATTATAAATGATAACATAATCGTACTACCACCAACCCTAACTTCCTGATCAACATAAACCTTATCCATAAACCGCAATACTCTTTACTGGATACTCATGAAGGGTTATCCATTCATCGCATGAGCATTACATGGGTTTACGTATATCAATAACATATATGTATATCGTACAAAGCCCTTACTATCAATAACAGATGTTTATGACGTTCAAAACCCTTACTATCAATAACAGATGTTTGTAACTTACAAAACCATGCTTATCAATAACAGATGTTAACATTGCACAAAACCCACTTGAATCAATAACAAATGTTTAAACTATACAAGACCCTGTCTATTAATAACTTATATTTTTACCGTACATAACCCTGTATATCATCATCTGATATGTTTATCAGATGTTTAAACCATACGTAACAGATGTGTATGCAGTACTAACCCTTATCTATCAATAACAGATGTTTATACCGCACAAAACCATGTCGGTCTATACCAGATGTTTATACCGTTAAAAACCCTGTCTATTAATTATAGAAGTTTATACCGCACATAACCCTATCGGTCTATAACATATATTTATACCGTACAAAACCCTGTCTATTAATTATAGAAGTTTATACCGCACAAAAATCTGTCGGTCTATAACAGATGTTTATACGGTACAAACCCCTGTCTATTTATTATAGAAGTGTATGCCGCACATAACCCTGTCGGTCTATAACAAATGTTTATACGGTTCAAACCCCTGTCTATTTATTATAGAAGTGTATACCGCACAAAACCCTATCGGTCTATAACAGATGTGTATACGGTACAAAACATTGTCTATTAATTATAGATGTTTATTCCGCACAAAACCCTGTCGGTCTATAACAAATGTGTATACGGTACAAAACCCTGTCTATTAATTATAGAAGTGTATACCGCACAAAAATCTGTCGGTCTATAACAGATGTTTATACGGTACAAACCCCTGTCTATTTATTATAGAAGTGTATGCCGCACATAACCCTGTCGGTTTATAACAAATGTTTATACAGTACAAACCCCTGTCTATTTATTATAGAAGTGTATACCGCACAAAACCCTGTCGGTCTATAACAAATGTTTATACCGTACAAAATCCTGTCTATTTATTATAGAAGTGTATACCGCGCAAAACCCTATCGGTCTATAATAAATGTGTATACGGTGCAAAACATTGTCTATTAATTATAGATGTTTATTCCGCACAAAACCCTGTTGGTCTATAACAAATGTTTATACCGTACAAAATCCTGTCTATTTATTATAGAAGTGTATGCCGAACATAACCCTGTCGGTCTATAACAAATGTTTATACGGTACAAACCCCTGTCTATTAATTATAGAAGTTTATACCGCACAAAAATCTGTCGGTCTATAACAGATGTGTATACCGTACAAAACCCTGTCTATTTATTATAGAAGTGTATGCCGAACATAACCCTGTCGGTCTATAACAAATGTTTATATGGTACAAAACCTTGTCTATTAATTATAGATGTTTATACCGCACAAAACCCTGTCGGTCTATAACAGATGTGTATACCGTACAAAACGCTGTCTATTAATTATAGAAGTTTATACCGCACAAAAATCTGTCGGTCTATAACAGATGTGTATACCGTACAAAACGCTGTCTATTAATTATAGAAGTTTATACCGCACACAAATCTATCGGTCTATAACAGATGTTTATACGGTACAAACCCCTGTCTATTTATTATAGAAGTGTATACCGCACAAAACCCTGTCGGTCTATAACAGATGTGTATACCGTACAAAACGCTGTCTATTAATTATAGAAGTTTATACCGCACAAAAATCTGTCGGTCTATAACAGATGTTTATACGGTACAAACCCCTGTCTATTTATTATAGAAGTGTATACCGCACAAAACCCTGTCGGTCTATAACAGATGTGTATACCGTACAAAACCCTGTCTATTAATTATAGAAGTTTATACCGCACACAAATCTGTCGGTCTATAACAGATGTTTATACGGTACAAAACCCTGTCTATTAATTATAGATGTTTATACCGCACATAACCCTGTCGGTCTATAACAAATGTTTATATGGTACAAAACCTTGTCTATTAATTATAGATGTTTATACCGCACAAAACCCTGTTGGTCTATAACAGATGTTTATACGGTACAAACCCCTGTCTATTTATTATAGAAGTGTATACCGCACAAAACCCTGTCGGTCTATAACAAATGTTTATACCGTACAAAATCCTGTCTATTAATTATAGAAGTGTATGCCGGACATAACCCTATCGGTCTATAACAAATGTTTATACGGTACAAACCCCTGTCTATTTATTATAGAAGTGTATACCGCCCAAAACCCTGTCGGTCTATAACAGATGTGTATACCGTACAAAACCCTGTGTATTAATTATAGAAGTTTATACCGCACACAAATCTGTCGGTCTATAACAGATGTTTATACGGTACAAAACCCTGTCTATTAATTATAGATGTTTATACCGCACATAACCCTGTCGGTCTATAACAAATGTTTATACGGTACAAACCCCTGTCTATTAATTATAGAAGTTTATACCGCACAAATCCTTGTCGGTCTATAACAGATGTTTATATGGTACAAAACACTGTCTATCAAAAACAAATGTTAATTCCGTACAAAACTCTGCCTATCAAACTTGTTCTTCTTTTGGCAGATAACAATACAAACTGTTTTATGTTTATTTTGCACCTTTTTGTATCAACCTTTATGTTAACTTACCAGTTGGTGCATCCATGGACAGCCACAGCATTTGCGGGAACATTTCCATTTGTATATGGGTCATAGCAAGGACATTCTTCAATATTTACGCACGTCAATTGGTTGCTTTCTGGTGAAAATAATCCTTCGTCAGGACATTGACATCCCGGGACACACATTTCGATACACGTCTGATCATTGAGTTGTACATCCAGACAATGTCCTTTACATATAGAGGAACACTCTGTGTATGTTCCTGATGTACACTCATTGTAATCGACTGGAACAGAAACGGACTTAGCCTTTATACAACATGTTTAGAGATAGATGTAAAAGGGCATATGTACGTTTGCAAGCAAATAAACAACTCCTTACTTAGCTTTGAACGCTTTCATTTCTGGTACTAATTTATAAATAGATTCCAGCACTGCTAGATAATTGCAGTTTTGTGAAAGTAAATAATAAAATGTATGGTTATTTCAGTTTTCATAGTAGGGTGTTATACCTTAGATTTATTTCGAAATGCTCTATATTCAATAGTTTATTTGTTCTCCTTCTTCGTAACATTATCAAACATTCCAACCAGAATAATTAACAATAACAATGGAATATAATAAAGAATCGGAAACATAAAATAAATTTTCAATCATTTTGATTTTTTTAGAATTTGGTAAAATAAGTGAAATTCAATATTGAATGTTTCACTGAACATACCACACTTTTTGCTCCACGGATCGTAAGCGTTCCAGTCGAGGTCAATGTTCATGTTAGACAGTAAGCATTGCATTGACATGGCAGCGGTTATTTCGCAAAACATGTCGTCTTTATATTGTGTAGATACTGCACATACGTCTTCTCGACACCATTTAAGAAAAGTATCCACAGATACAGATCCCATTGTGAAACATTCTTTGAATGCTTCACTACTTTTCAAGTTGTTACACAAAGAAATGATTTCCGGAGTCTGTGAAATGAAATGAAATTGTCATGAAGGTCATAATTATCTACATATCAACTTTAGTTTTTTGACAACAATTATGCAATTACCAAACTATACAAATCCATCGTGTTTATCCGCATAGAAGCGCACAGGAGGTTTTAATATGGGAGGAAACTGAAATACCCGGAGAAAAACCACGTGGATTGGCATGTGACCCAATATCTTTTCACATCCGATCAGATACTTGGACCCCGGTCATCTTGGTAAAAAGCGCCATCCGAACATCCTAATCGTTATCATTTGTTTAATGGTGTCAATGAGCTAAAAAACATAGTAAATAAACTGTCCTATCGTGTAGACTATATTCAGCTATTCAGCTATTAAATAAATGATAAAAATGAAATTACTTTATGATATTGTGGTCTTTCCTATTAAATAATGCGTCAATAAAGTGCTTAAATGTTGTGTTAACAGATCAGTCTGGATTTTTGTCCCCGAAATGGCTCGTCAGGGTCTAAGTTTCTCGTTTCGCTAAAACGTCATAATTACATAGATCTACCTGTGTTTATATTTCAAACATATTTATAACAAAAAAAGTAGACGTCGTTGAAATACCATTCATTTATATCCTTTTGATTACGATGCATATTATTCTAATGTCAAGAATAATTTACTAACTATTTTGCAAATATACCGAAATTCGAATTTATTATTTTTATTTATTTCACGATGGTCACAAACAGCCCGCAGGCTTCGAGTCGTTTTCCTGATATTCACCAAAAATGTGCACAATTCAATATTTGCATAGTTGAAAAACAATACAAAATACAAGTAGTAATACACGCGCATTTACTGTAGAATTTGCACACATCCTAAACACACAAAGCTCTACATACACAGTCACAGGGGAAAACGAAAAAGGAGAGAGAGACACAGAGAGAGAGACACACACACACACACACAGATAGAGACAGAGAGAGAAAGACACACACACAGGGATAGAGACAGAGAGAGAGACACACACACAGGGATAGAGACACAGAGAGAGACACACACACACATACAGGGATAGAGACAGAGAAAGACACACACACAGGGATAGAGACAGAGAGAGAGACACACACACAGGGATAGAGACACAGAGAGAGACACACACACACAGGGATAGAGACAGAGAGACACACACACACACACAAGGATAGAGACAGAGAGAGAGACACACACACACAGGAATAGAGACACAGAGAGAGACACACACACACAGGGATAGAGACACAGAGACAGACAAAAAGAGTATGCGAGACAGATAGGGAAAGAAGATGACAGAGACAATATGTCCAACAGACAGACATAAATATAACACTTTTTTCTATTTAATAAAATATATGGATTTTAATATGTTTATCGTATTGGCAATTCCTTGAAAATTGTATTGTGGATATAAATATATGTTTCTGATATATGCTTACCGAAACATGATACGCATAGCATTCAAATACTTGAATACATTGCATTGTGGAATTAAAAATTATGCACTATGCAAACCAGTTTATCCCGTTTTTGTTTCTTTAATTGAGTTATATTGCTATCAAATAACAATGAAATTAGAAGCAAAAACAATTGAACTTAGACGTTACTGGGCGCTAATCATTTGGTGTCAGCATTAAGATATAGGACAAAGACGTATTAAGATAAATTAAAATTATTCTGTTTAGAAAAATTCTGACTTTAAGTTTTGTATTTGTTTTCGTATTGTTTTACGGCCCATCGACATTAAAGGCCAGACACTAATTAAAAAATCATTCACAAAAAAATCTGAATGCATAAAAACCTGAAACAAAAGGTGAAAGTGTGTCGAAATATATCAATAGCAAATGAAAATTGTATTAAACATATCAAATCTATAGATTAATTGAATGTAAATAGTCATAGATTGATTGAACAGAAATTGTATCAAATAAACATTTCATAAAGGGTACAATCAGTCACGTATTTGTTTGAAATCAGCGCATTCAATCATAAAGTGTATGATTGTAAATGGTTGATCACATGGATGACAATGAGGTTGGTCTTCCTTATGTAAAATGTGAGTATGTGTGATGTAGATATTTCCTATGCGTCGTAAACAGAAAATAAACTTTGGGCCAGTTATGGCGATAAATCATTGCGACCTGTCATTGTCCCCTTTTTGCAGCGTCATGAATCGAGCGCAACTTCCCAACACACAAATCTAACAACTCCGAATATCCATCACGTCAGCAGGACATCCAAAGAAATGTCGACATGTAAAACTGATGGGGAAAGTCTTCTGATCTGTTTTGATCGACATCGCTAAAATCAGTTAGTTAACTTCCAGGAACGCTCTCAAGCGTTGATGCGGAAGTGAAATTTCAATCTAGCTTACATCATCAAACGTCAAGCTAGGTCTCTGCTATAGCTCATCAATTGCATGTGATTTATGCTAATGGAGAACAAATCCGCAAGTAGACTTGCTGTTTGTTTCACTATGTACCCCTGCTATCATTAAAGACTCGTAAAAGTACTCTCAAGTTTGACGAATTATTACAATCTCAAAATTAATACCCATACTATCCAAATGTTTAATAATTCATCGAATAACATGCATAAAATATTTTCATGTAGTTTAATGAAAACGCATGCAAAATTAGCGTTCTTTTCAGCATTGTCACTCTAGGTTTGCATAACTGTTTGAAGTATCACAAACGCAGGTATGACTTCAGGTGAGATAATCTTTTCTCTTACCCTGGACAGGTGTATCCGCACTTTTACCGGTGTGAGATTTCCTTGTCTCACCCTAGGGTTGAGACGGGGGGATTCCCCTATTCATAACAATTGCATGACGTCACTTCAACAATACAATGACGTCACGTCAACAATCCATCAACGTCACGTCAACCCTGAATTTAGCATGTAACGTTATCCTTACATTGTGTATAGGAAACACAATGGGAGAACAGGGTAAGAGAAAAAGAATCATTCACCCCCTTGTGGGTGAGATAGGGGAATATCAACCCTCGGGGAAAGATTCTTCAGTTGCCAAACACGAGGCAAAGCCTCGTGTTTGGCAACTTAAGAATCTTTCCCCTGGGTTGAGATTCTCCTATCTCACCCCCAAGGGGGTGAGAGATTCTATTACTCTCCTAGCCTATTCAGATGACTCCATACTTTAGAAATGATGACAGCAGGCGTACTTATGGTCTTTGACATGACTAATCATAACATGTTTTCCTTAAATCAGGCAACATTATAGTGACGCCATTATCTAATTATATACTTGCCGGTGAACACTGATATTCTGAATCATCATTATTGCAATCTTCAGAACATTGAGAACGGTATGAACTTGTAAAGGTGGGAACTTTAGTTGTTTCCATGCCTTCATCCATCATTAAGTCGTCGTTCAGGTCATCATTGTATGTTCCAAAAAGTCCTTTTACCTTTAAACATATATAAATGCATTTGACAGAAATGTTAAAAGTTCATAAATACATTATATACATATGATATTTCATTGAACATAAGGAATAAATTTTACAAAGCGCTATTACTATCAGGACAGATATATGCAAAAAATATCATGCACCTGTGTTTCTTTGCTGAATAAGCATTAAATAGACAGGTAATGATTGAACTAAACATCTTATCAATACTAAGTAATACGAGAGCATTGACAGTTTTAGGTACACACCATACGAAAATAATTGGTTTGTGCTATTTACGTGTATTGATTCTTTGTAATTTAGTTTGTTGTGTAAACTAGAGCTAGGCTTGCAGAAACATTTAATGAACGGCATTAGATTAGATATATCAACGTTTTTACAAGATTCTGAAAATTGATTAGTATGGTAATTTTATCACACCTAACAGGATTTCGAAAACAAACATTATCTTAGCACAAACATCATTCTCGTTTTGGAACCTCCTAAATGTTTCCAAATAATGAAATGGAAATTGTCACGAATAGTATGTTTTATGATTAAATGCAATACATAAAGATTTGTATGTGTATAAGTGGAAAGCCCATATGAATAAATTTAACCAAATATACATAAGCAAAAAGGAACTAGCTGTTTGAATTTTAAGGTTGAATAAGATCAATTAAATATAATGTTTTTTGTCAAAAAATCAAGTTCCAACTTTTCAGAAATATTGAAAGTAATGTGAAATTTGTATCAGACAAATTAAGTAAAACAATTATTATTTAGTGCAAATGCTTATACGTACCTGATCCACAAAAACACGATCCAATATGACATAAACAGCCTGGTTGAAATCAAATAAAATCTGAAACCCAAATCCTTTCACCATCACGAATTTGGAGGTGACTTTCTTGATGTAAAACTCAGGCGAATTGTACAGATGGTATTTATTTGAATTTGTGTCTATGGGTGTAGAATCGACAAAAATTTCGTTGCGACGCATTTCTACGGATCGTGATTTGTAGTGCATCTTCAGGTAATGGAAGCACTTAAGACCAAGGGTGCTTTGTGCGACACTACAATCGGTGAAAGCAATCTCGATGTGTAGTTTCCCCCTTCTGTCCTCAATCTTAGGATCCATGACCTAAAATGTAAGAAAAGTTTGGGAAATTGCTCTTGTCATCTATGCATAGAAAACGAAGAGGACAACTTAAACCAAATGAGCAATTTTGAAACAACTGCGAATTTTGGAGCAAATTCAATACAAATTCAAAATAACATGAAATGGAATAGGTCATCAATAAAACAAAATTAATTCCTCTTATTTCGTTCAATATAATTTATCAAAAAAATGATTATGAAATGACACGCAAAGGAAAAGCAACCTCAAATTTTCCGTAAAATATTTAATATTTCTTTTAAAAGATCCGTTTAAGTAACATAGCCCATTAAAGATACACATCTATTCTATTGGATAATTCAGTTAATTTATTGCTAGCGATAATCACTTTGGCAAAACAAAAGTCGAGGGGTGGCCATTGGAACGTTCCGACTTCAATAACAAGTATGACCTCCGTTAGCATGCTGCTCGAGTTCTGCGATGCATAGAATCTATAAGACTGTTCATTTGTACCATAGGGTTGTTCTACCAAGCTTCCAAAAGCGCCTGACGCAGAGCGGGTGGAGTCTCGAATGCGTCTATCCATCATGTCCCACATGTGCTCTATTGTAGCTGTGAAAGTGCCTTCAATGACGATTACGGGGGTTTTGTGGCGACTACATATCCCAACCCACATCATACGCTGTCACCACTAAACATGTCGCGTTCCACAATGCAGTTATCGGCATAACATAAACCACGTCGTCGAGAAACACCTTGACGCCAATTTGAGCGGTAAAGCGTGAATCGTGACTCGTTGGAGAAGAGTACACGACGTCATCATTGCATAGGAAACACGTTAGGACGGTGTCGCTGGATCCATTGGAGTCTGACGTCACGTCGATGACGGTTCTCGGGCATTCCAACTGCAACGCAACGCGGTTTAATGCCGTAAGAATGGAGACGCCTCAGCACAGTATCTCAGGTTAATCTAGGATTGAGTGTTCCTGGTGTCTCATTTGCAGTTTGTATTTGCAGTTCTTAACCGGTTGCGCAAGTGCTGCAATCGCATGAACCGATCCTGACGAGGCGTCGTAACTTTCGGTCCTCCAGTTCGAGGGTGGTCGGCAGTTGTACCAGTTTTCTAAGACGGCTGTAAAGGCGACATATTGTGCTATTGTGGACAATCAGGACTCCTGCCATAGCATTTGTGGAGTTTCCAGCCAATAGTAACTGTACTGCCCTGTTGCGTGTAACGTTAGTTAGTCTAGGCATTTTGACCAAATCACAAACGAATTGGTTTTACCGGACTATTCTAACCCGATACCTGAAGATTGATAAATAGGTCTGGGACGCATACAATAAGGCAAGGTGTATCGGTGCACGTACTAAACAGGCTATGTATTGAAGTATCGCGGGCACGAACATGCGAAGTGTGACAGAGTTCAATCAACCGTGAATTGATGGTGAATATGTATGATACCTTTGTATTCAACACGGCTAACAATAGTTTATTAATATTATAAAATTATGGACATTTAAGGGGGTTGCATTTCTTTTACGTGTCAGTGTATATCCACACCTGAATAATATATTCATTCTTATAGGTACGAAGAAAAATAGATTTCCAGTTTAAAGAGTCACAACGCAAACATCTTGTTTCAATATTGCTGAATTCTTACCATTAATGTATGCAATTTATATTGATAGCAAAAATAAATTATTCTTTTCTTAGTGGTAGTACCTTTGTCATCGTGTATGTGCAGGAACAAGGTGTGAAACTGTATTGTTTACCATCAAATGTTGTGATATGGCGCAGGCCAACTAAGCTTGCAGTACGCGAGCACTTCTCGTCAGTACAATCCCATTGTCCTTTCACGCAAGTGCTTAAAAGGGCAAAATACAATTATAATTTGTGTAATATATTCATAGTTTCAATCTTATTTAAAGGTTTACAATGAATCAATATAATGTATAAAAAAACACATTAGTATAATGCATGTACAATTAACATATACTTAAAAGTAAAACAGTTGCACTTTGAACAAATTTAAAACAAAAACAAACGAAACATGTTTTCGTCTACATTTATGCCACCTTAAAGTAAAAATAGCATTCAACCACAGGTTTTTATGAATACTATGGCACGCTAAATTAAAGGATTCATAAACATGATAATGATATTCTACATAATACTAACCATTCATTACAATCGCTCCTAATGGTATCGTATGGTTCATAAAACTTGTCTTGGTAAGAACATTTACAATCTTCCAATACAACACATTCGTTCTTTTGCCAAATGAGTCCAGGTGGGCACGTACAACCGGCAACACATTCAGTTTTACTTTGACATTCATCTGAGAGTTCAGCAAATAGATTTGAACAGCTTCTTTGACAAGGAGAAATGCATTCGTTGTACACAAGACCTTCGGGGCACTCCGGTGCTTAAAAAAGAAGAAGTTGTATAGTTCACACTTACTTTCTATACAGTTGTGTCGTTGTTGTTGGGTTTTTTTAATCAATTTTAATTAAATCTTAAAAAGATTGTCTATAATTGACGGATATTGATTTTTTTCTCTGTAATCAAACAAGGATATTTTATTTTTGTAACTTCAAATATGTTTTTAATTTGTTCCGTATTGGCAACTTTACAGGTACACGAAAAGATAATTTGATATTTTAAATTACATAGCTACACATGTAGGCCACTTCAGAAGTAACAAAATATGATGCATGCTGCTGAATAATTACAACTTTGAATATCTATTTCTTCATGTATGTGAGACACAGTTTAGTTGACATGTTCACAAATTTACCTGTATTAGGCAAATACATTAAGTAAATTAATGTAATGGATTTTAGCGGAAGACTGGAACACACAACTGAAGGTATACCATACTTGTTGTGTTCTAGTTTGTAAATACAGTCTACAGTGACATTCACTAAATAACCTTAGCTCCCGCAAACTGGAGTTATTTTCGCATAACCTGATCATAGAACGAAACAAGTTTCTATGACGTCGACCATAATACATGTGGACAGAGATGTGCAAAGTTTCCGCGAACGCAAAACAAATTTGTGACGTCATGACCAGAAGATGTGGAGTAGAGTTAACCATGTTAATGCAAATTTCAGGCTGTTACTCTTTGTGAACTAATCACACGTTACTTTGTTTCGGAAATGAAATTCGTGTCCACACCTGATCAGACAAATGGATGAAATAATTATGAACCATTTCTCAGAAAAATATAAGGAACAGTTTTCCATTTTCATTAGGCTATAAAGTGATATCTCCAGTTGAGCACAAGTCAATTCATCAACGATGGATTCACCATCTTTTCAATTAACAGCCCAACTGGAGTTATCACCTGATAACCTAACCAAAACTGCAATACATTCCTTAGGTAACAAATGGAACTATCATTTTAAATCCTTACCACATAGTTCTGAATTTCTCCAACTAACAATGATGTTGTGTTGAGCACATTCATGAGCGTAAGCGCCAACCACCTTACACCGAACTTTTTCTTTATCCTCGGCTGCAACCTTACAGTATTCGTGAACACACAGCTGGTACCATGTGGTAAATGCAACCTTTTGGGTAGAAAAAAAAAACATATATAATATAAATGAAAAGGATAAAATAATCGTTGGTACACACAGGATAAGTTTCAGCAATTTTTTTATCATTATTTATTTATATGTTCATGTAAAACAGAACTGATATTTGCGCAGTAATATCGGAAATCATCGATTATAAATGCATATAATACGTTTACGGCACTTCATTTGGTTAAAACAACACAAAGTTTATGCACTGTACGTAATTTCAAATTATTAAATCGATTCACACTAAATTCTTAAACGAAAATTCGGATATAACTGCAGACAAGACGCGTTTTCAGTGTAAAACAGTACGATTTTTCAAGATTGTGGAATCGTTTTGATGCTGATTCTAACTAAGCATTCTTACATAGTTTCTGCAATCTCTGAATGTATTCATACGCAAAATACCACATGCTGCAGCTGCGTTTGCTTGCTCAACTTCATCCTTGCAGGGCTGGATAGCACTAGCAGAGGGGCACTTAAATACACAAGTAACATATTAATAAATATAAATATAGGTACGTTTGCAAGGAACAAGTGGTTTTTTGGAAGTTACCGTTGATATTAATTTCTTGACCCGAATCGATATATATATATGCATACATATCCACGTATCGTTAATAAAATCGTAAGACGACTAAAATTGATTAAGATCTTGGAATTTGTAAGCATGGCGTGCTCTTTTCTAGGAGAGTATTCTTATTAAAGTGTTTTTTTCGGATGAGTAAAGAAATTACTTATATTTCAATAATGTTTTGATATGATCCCAACACACGTTAAAATTTAGAAATTATATACATAACCAAAGCTGGATTTCATACATAGATAACACGACAAACCGAATGTTGATGATACTGACGCAGCATAAGCAGCAGTCACAGAGCAAAAGTCAATTAAAGTTTAGTAGAAATAATCTTCGTTAATACGTACAAAGTTTTCATCAATATTCCAGGAATTTCCGAATGTTGTTGGATTTGAGGTAGCCTGTCCAGATCTCATCTGGAAATCGTCTAAATATTTAAAAATATATATATATATTAATTTCAACATACTTTGTTTATCGATTATTTATTTTACCACGAAACGATTTCAAGAAATACAATTTATGTCAAAGAGTAAGCAAGCGATAAGTATGAAACCACCATCAATTAATCATTATGATTATCTTACCTACCAGTATTTTGTTATTTTTTCGCGGTGTGGAAATGTTCACTTGTTTCACGTTGAGTAAATAAGCCCCAAAGTGCCAACATACTAATATGTATTTATAGATTGTATAAGTTATATATAAACAGAATATAATGATTTCAGAACCTATCACCAACGTAAAAAAATCCACACTGTCATCATTTCAAAAGGTCACAGCGCGAACATTTTCACACGCGAACATTTCAATTTTAACAGTATCTGTATCTATGATTGTCACATTAAGGTAGTCTTTAGTCATGCGTAATGTCAGCTAAAGCATTTGGCAAAAAATGGCATTAAAACACTTTAAACAGTGATTCAGATTCAACATAAACAACAACCAGAGAATATTTCTGACAATGCATGAAGATGCAACTCTATTAAACTGAATGCAGCGCCAAACAACGGATGCAGCATTTCCATCAAGAAAGCTAAGCCATATTTGGAATTAATATAAACATAACATGAACAACGAAAACAAAATGCTAGCAAATTGTTTATATATCGATTGTCTATTCCGAACTGTTATTTTTTTTATTACACCGTCGTCTTAAAAACCATGTTTAACGTATCTGATTATAACACGAGACAATTATGTAACGATTGAATCATGTTATGTTGACTTTAATGGATAATAAACTCTAGCGCGTCTTGACAAACAGAGTATGAACCCCAACACAATACGAGTCAATCCTAATATCAACATTCGGTGCTATTGCGGGGTTTTTTGTGGATTTTTTGTAATTTCTTAACGTGTCGAACTTGTGCAGGTCTAACACCACGAAATCTGCTAGAGCGTGTCACGACATCACTTACAGTGAAACGTCGTCCAGGTAAAATAAATTGCACTTTTGTATTGATTACAATGTAAAAACTATATGACGTCGAATAAAGACATGATTATTTTAATCAGAAACCTCTGAATAATCATATTATAAAACAATCTACAAATGAGGTTAATTCTCACATTTACTTGCTTATATTCACAAGCAAATTTTGAAAGTAAATGGGAAAATAAACCTCATATCTTTTAGTAGGAATATTGAGTCCAAGTGCAGTAGAAATGTTAAGATTGTAATGCAAAACATTTGTACGGCTTTACTTCACCTGATGCATCGCCATTGTTAAGTCCGCAAAGACCTTGTATTTCTTCATTACTAGCGATATCCTTATCGACTGTCACATACACTGTCGATTTATCGTCAACCTTCATTCGGAACTCTTGCGTTTTAATCATTATCCACAGATTAAACCTTTGCAGAAATGTTATTCCTGAAAAATGCAACACATTTCATATAACAATAGTACCGGTAAACGTCAATCCACATTATAACCCTAACGCGTATATGGCTTATATATCTATACACTTATATGACCAAATTACTAACCTCATTTTTATAATGACACTTTAGAAGTAACGTTGGATAGAAATTATTCTTTCCAGATAAAGACGATTTTCTACTCAATTGTTTGAATTTCAATTAGATCCATTACACATTGGCTTTTGACCGGTTTGGCTGGGACTTTATTTCAAAATAAATTCAAACTGGAAACGATAACATATAAAATTCAACAATATTATAAAGTCTACTGTTAAAATGAATCTAGATGCTGCCTTTAATAACATTCGGCACGTTTTGACAGAGACATAGTTAAGTTTGCATTATATAGATGTAACTGTATTGAAATAATTTAAAAAGTCATTTGAAGTTTGCTTCTTTTATGAGACACAAGCGCAAAACATGTCTTCTATATCTTGTGTGTATAATATTGAAAAAAAAATTGAAATTTACCAACATGCCAATGGTGAACTACCAATCGGCATGTTAAAAATGTTGAGGAGGATGAAATATTTATCAATTTTGGACTTTTCCTAGGGTAGATATTCAGACTTCAAAAACGATGTTGACGAAGACGAAACCGAGGTCAATATCACTTTTCAGGTTAATATAAAACATATTCAACGAAAGAAAAGTCCTGAGAATGGTATGCATGACATGAAATTAATTTTCTTTCTTCATTAAACAAGATGGAGCTTAAGCAAATTGTCAAATAAAAAATACTGCTTTGGAAAACAGCATTATGAGTTAACAACTGAAATGACATAATAAAGTGAATATTGACCGAACGTTTCTTAAAAAATCTAACACCAAGTCAATATAACAAAGTACCGAGCTCAACGTGATTATGATTAAACAAATGAAGATGTAGAAACAGAAACATTCTCTAGTATTTACCATTTTTGATCTGTGCAACATCTGTGGGGATCTCTTCTGCTTCATTAATTGTTAGTTTTCCTTGGAAGATAACAAGTTGCTGACCATGGTAAAGTACTGTTATTTTCTGTAACATAGAAAAACAAAACAAAAGACGTCATGAAAAACATACCGTGGGTTAAATATCTTTTATATTTTACTTTATAATTACGAACTGTAACCATAGATACACCTTTTTCGTTCGGTATGCTTTATAAGATTTTAATATCCGTATTAAATTATTTTAAAATTGTTTCCCAAATAAATATTTTGCAATACGATCGTCTGTCGTTTGCAATAAAAATCATAAGAAAGATGCGACTTTTACCTTACATTTTATTTTTATTCTTTGTTATAAATATATATGATTCGGTTAATATTATTTCATATAATTCCATTCAAAACTGCTTCTTGTTCAAAGATGTTGTCTATTAAAGATTGAATAAACCTAAAGTGAAAACGTGTTGTTACAGCTTCAATTTCAATGTATTTTCATACCAGTATCTATGTTAAGTTGTTGTGTTAAAAACATAATTGCAGATTCGAAAATTGTAAACTGCAAAAAAGGGTGGGTTGCTTTGCTTTCCGGGAATGTCTGCAAACTGTTTGTTCAAAGTAGCACCAATTGCCTTTAAAAAAAATTGAATCGGTCATTGAATTGTCTGCAATAGTTATCCGCCATAAAGAGTTCAAAGAAAATTAATAACCTGAGGTCACTTTGGTTTTGTATTCCTCATATGCTAGTAAATGGTATTTGCATATACTTCTTTTGAAAACATTTGATAGCAAGCAGTCTAACACATCACAGTTATTTCCTCTTATGTCCCTCAGAAGCTTTCTTGAGATCTTTTAGTACATTTGACCAATGTGACTTAGATAATTGGTATAAGCTTACTACAGGCCATAAATCACCACACCAGATTTGATGACCCTCAGTTTTATTCCTTTAAATATTTTGATCTTGAAAGTCACTGAAGGCAATTCATCTCAAATCATAATTCTACATTTCAATGCAATGACTTCGAAAGGAGGTGAGTCTAGAATATTTATTTGAAGACACTTAAGAGTACTTCAATCAGGTAGCTACTAGCAAAATATCTTAATCCTAGGTTTAAACATGTAATCATCTGTATTCATTTTTGACCTGGGCAGGATCAAAAATTCCTGTAACTCAATTCAATAGATATCAGAAACAAATGTGCATTATCAGTTTTAAGGCATTATAAACTTTTAAGACTCCAGAGCCCCGAAATATATTTTTTACGTTATGTCGTCGAAATTTGTTTAACGATTTCACTTTTGTTACCTTGCTTGTAAGTTTATGGAGTTGAGAAAATTTTATCGTACTGTATACCTGTTAATCCCAGGCAGCCCTTAAACAGATATTTGACCAAAACACAATACTAGAGGCATAGACATACATAGAGTGTCTTTATAAAATTCTACATTATCATTACTCTACACCTCAGGGCCTTTTCTCCTAATACAACTCTCTTCATTTCCTAATACAATCAACCTTTATAACAATGAAAGCAAGTATTTTTTCTGCGGAAACTTACTCTTAATTTTGCCATAGTTATGAAACCAGTTTTACTCTCTTTTATTACTTAATCGTGTTTCCCCTCATTGAGCAGTGGGCATTAATACAAGTGGAAGACAGAGTGTCCACATACAGAAGAGCAGGCCATCCCTACATGTATATAGTAAGGTTCGGGCAGGAAATCGAAGAAAGACGGTTTTCATAATAAGTGAGTGAGCCATCCAGTCTGCCACCCGACCATCCCAAATTTAAATGACTCACCTTGTAACAATCACAAGCACTGGTGCATTCAAATGGTTCGATTATAATTGACCAGTCTTGTCCTTGTGCTAAGACATATTTGCATTCTCCCTCGAACAGATACTCCAAGCCATCGAATGTTCTGAAATAACTTTTTCCAAAGGCAAGACAGGTTCTGTAATTGAGTGTAGTGTTCTGGTTGATCAGTGGATTGCTGTCGTCGGCAATTTCTAAAATAAAATCAAAGCCTGTTTATTGCAAAAGACTGTTTTACGACCAGATAAATCTCTGAGTTTTAAATTAGCAGAAATATCACAATAGCATGATAAGAGCATACAAGTTGTTATATTACAATGAAATGACATGAAAATATGACACGAAAATATGACATATGAAAATATGACATGTAAATATGACATGAATCGATAAGGCGACACAGCACGCTACGAAAACATAATTGTGTAACAGAGGAGGATAGAAACTCAACAAACGTAGTTTATACTGGTTGTGTAACATGGGTTGGTTGGAGGTCATACGAATGTAGTACGCTGCAATTCATTGAAACAGGAAACAGTAGGAATCACAGTTAAAGGTAAGGGCGTGCTTTTGTAATATTATATTCTTAGGTGTCAATTACCTCTTTGAAAGTATGCCTGCCTTCATAATCGATAGTCATTTATTTTCTTTAGTTTCATCTTATTTGATTCATAAGCAATGAACGCATTTTCCATGTCTCAATAATGATCTCGTATGATGTAAAACTAATCACTTGACGTCCTTTTATAAATCCATTTCGTGTGTAACACTGCACATCGCATGTGTATGTGATAAAACAAGAAATATGCTGTATGAATATTATTTATGAAATGTGCTAGAAATCTATGATTTTTTTCTTACTTGACACACTCGTTTAGCAATGTTTAGTAACAAACAACAACATCGGGTTGATGCTCTGTCAAAACATCGACTTTGTCTATTTTAACATCATGTGTGTGTTTTGTGTCAGCTCACTTATACTCATAAATACTCACCGTCACAGTTATTACACATTGGTGAGCCGTACTCCCCCCAACTTTTAGCTTTTCCACTATTACAGCAATCATCTGCAGTTACAAGTGCATTGTCATATCCGGCAGCCTTTTCCCCGTAGCATTCTCTGTTCTCGAAGCAGTACATCTCGTTAGTACCAGGTTCTTGACAAGGAATAAGAATTATATATCATGATAATGTATACTCACTTATGCAAAGTAAACGAGGTTGCGTGATATCACCCTTGTTACGAAAGGCGCACCACCATAATTATCAAAGCCAAATGAATAACACATGTTGATTGTATGGCTGTCGTACTGTTATGCGGGCCTCCTTACTTACGCCTTAAAAATAACTAACACATATGAATACATAGAGGATAGCTAATGGTTTCCGGTTAAATAGCATAGATGTTTAATGAACTTGGCAGAATATCAAGATTATTTAGGACTGCAAAGCGCGTTTGAAATTATCAGTATTATCTGTTATTTGAATGAATTATATATGGTTTATATTGTGTATGATTTTCAACAGAAAATCTTCTATTAATACAATCAAAGTTAATGTATCTTCGACGGCATTAATTATTAGCGTAATATTGGCGCAATAAACTAATAACGTCACCCTTGAAATTTAAAAGCAATTTTGAAAGGACTTTTCACCTTTCTGATAAAGTTTGCTGACAATAATTTAACAAATTTGTTGTGAAGTCAACCTCTTAATGCCTTTTCATTAAATGAACCAAAACAACTTCTTAATCTAGGGTCAATTTTACTGCCGGCTTTAGAAGAAGTGACAAGCAATCGACGCCTTTAGATAGAAAGCACCGTTTTGCTGGTTCAATAATAATAAGAAAGATAATTTTTACAAACTGTGACTGATGTTATTTTTGATATAAAATTATTATATTTGTCAAAATGATGAAATACATTTTAACAATGGCAACAATGAAATACACTATCAAAAGAGTGATGCATGAAAGTAATTAAAATATGGCTAAATGACTATGGTTACTTTGTAAAGATTTCAGCAACTTTCACAAAGACGAATGTGACGCCACGTACCTGAAGACTTTATGATTCAATAAATACATGAGTAAAAAGGCTAGTCAGGAAGAATAGCATGCACTTCAAAAGCAGAGAAGGCTTGTTTTATAGGAAAAGGAAATGCACGCGACACAAACTGATGTCTACACGTTAACAATTTAAAAGTATGGAGACAGGGAAATTATATAGACATAGAGACATGTTCTATTTTGTGTTCTAGAGAGAGGAAAAACAAATCAAATAATTCTGGATTTGTTTATTATTATACGATAAAGCGTTATCAATATACTGAATGTGATAAAAAGTGATTGAAAAAGTATTATTTATTCGTAACCGTTGGGGGAATTCAAGTTTCATTACAGTAAAAGTATTGCTCGAAAAAATCATTCTGTGTCTAAATGTTAAAACGGTTAATCGAAAACATTTTTATATACTTAAAACAGCTTTTTGACAAAAATGTTTGAAACAATCCTAATCTTTTGGTTATATAAACGTCGTTGCCATTGGACGTGTATTCATCAGTAATTCTTTTAGCTATTACGTCACTTTATATTACTGTTTGCTGTAATATTTTCATTGTGACAATTATTTCCCTAATCAAAACAGGGATGATTTCATTCCAGGAGAAAAGTGGTTTTCCCTAGATATCATTAAAGCATTCTTAGGGAAAAAGTCCCAATATGTTCCAAGTGAACGTGGTTTCCACTGGATGTCGTAAGAACGCTATGGGTGGAGTCCCTACACCCGTGATGACAGGTTTTTCTTTTAGCGCTAAGTGTTTTCAAATTTTTAACGACATTCGGTAAATCTTGTAACTGTGACAGTTTAAAATTTGACAAGTGACTACCTGATAACATGACGACCAACCAGCGCTCGTTCAGGAAAATCTATTATACTCAAATTGATTATGTGCGCATTCATAAAATCAACGTATGCTTGACAAATTTGAGATTTTTACGCATTTCCAAAGTAAGAATGTAACAAGTGTATCTGACTGACGCTAAACGATTATAGCATATTCAATGAAATGGTAGCATACGTACGTTAAATGATAACTTTGTTTGTAGAGAGGTTCCTTTTATATATAACGAGCCACATTATATAAATTATATGAATGACATGATTTTCTTGCAGTTACCTTTTATTACAAAATCAATTAGTATGAACGCATAAACCTCAAACACAGAAGGTATCTATATTTAACTAAAACGTAAAGATGTAAACACATGTACGTGAAGAAATGTTCATGCGTACAGTTAGACCCAATCACGTGTGCAGATATAATTAAACATGTGTACAGAGACAACGTTAACACGAAAACAGATCGAAGAACATACGTGTACAGGTGAAATTATACTGCTTTACAGGTAAAATTAAACAATTAACAAACAAAACCAAACACGTGCACAGCAAAAAAAACCACTTGTCCATGTAAAATGTTACACGTGTACAGATAAAACTAAACATGTGTACAGTAGAATCAATCACGTGAACAGGCAAATCAACAGAAGTTTAAAAGTAAAATCTAAACGTGTTTGGGCAGAATTAAAAAGGTGCATATCTACATTTAATACGTGCACTTGTGGTGGAACGTGAACAGGTAGAATTATGTACGTGTTCGTGTCGAACTAAATGTGTCCAGGTAGATCTATACATGTGCATGTGACCATGGAGCTTTTACGGGATTTATCATAATGTACATATATTTACTCTCTGGATCCTGATCTGTAATTTACGTGTTAAATTGAATGTATGTTATGCAACTTAAAGCAAAAGAAAAGTTAGCTGGTCCTTTTGGAAATTGAATTTCTGAAAACATCAGGAAAAGGGTATATTTCAAATAAGAGCAAAAAAACTTTTAAATCTACCTAAATAACAAAACATCGACTGATCAAAATGAGCTGAAATCAATTGCAGAACAAAAAGCATTCTTTATTTCTCCGAAATAGTGTGTGTGAATACTTAATGATAGACCAAACCTTTTTACATTAGAAACCTAACATCTGGACAATGCTACCAGTGTAATGTTCATATAGAGTGTATGCAATATACACCACCTTAACGAAAGTTTATAATAATGGAAAATGTGTAAGGAGCAAAACACTCGAAGCCACGAATCAGTTGGAATACTAGTAAAAAAGTAACGATTAAAAGACATAAAAACATTAAATATCGGAATACTAGCATACATTAAAGAATATTAACATACATTAAAGATTGCTATACTAGAAAGTGTATATTGATTGAAATACTAAAAACCATTAAAATTGTAATATTGGAAATACAAAATCATCGTTTTCCAGGAAAACGGATCAGATTATAAAATTAAAAAATAACGAATCAATTCAAATAATCGAAATACAGTACAGAGATTGGTCATGCTTGTATTACTAGAAATCATGGAAGAATATTTGAAAACCCTATTAATATTGTAGCACTGGAAGACCGGTAGATATTGTGAGCTACCGGGGCAACCGTCTCTTGATACCTCTTTTTCAGTCTATAAGTATTAAAGTACAAGTGTACGAAACAATTCAAACCATCTTTAACAACAAGATGTTTTATTGTAATTAGCTGATATACGTAGCCTGTTGGTTTCATGGAATTTTGTTCATGAAACAAATGAGTTTATAACTTCTAGTGAAATAGCAGATCTAGACAAGTCGATGTATCCGTCGAGTGTTACTATATAATCACATGTTTTTTTCCCAGTACACAGTAATATAAAGAAACATTAACGATGAATTAAGCAATTCGCACCAACTGTGAGTATGACGCATTAGCTTGGCTTCTGCTTGGTCTTTGATAGAAATCCGGCAGAACAACACAGTGTCCATTTTCAAGTTTGGATGATATATATGAATACATCTGTAGCTCTGTTTTCCGTTTAAGTGTTTTTGAATTATATCTAAGTTTGCTAACAAGAAAAATGTTAAAGTCGGATATCTGTGACGTAGAAATCAATATAGAATACAACACCATTATTTTGTTGAAAATATTAAGATATAAATAAAAACTATTTGCCTGAATTTTTTAACAAAAGAAAATTCGAATCATATGTGTTTTTGTCATGTAGGAAAGGCTTGATCCCAGTTCTTTTATCAATTGTCCGATTCCGTAGATAAGTTCAGAATTAACGTATTGTTCAAAGCCTTATAACCTTATAGCCTTATAAAGCTATAATTAACTCCGAATCTTAATCAGTCATTGCTATGTTGTTTAACAAAATGATTTAAATGTATTTGAGAAGTATTTTGATGGTCGCATGTAATAACAACTTGTGCTTCAGCTCATTTTTATATGACCTTTATGAAACATGGACTTTTCTTTATGCCAATGCACTGTCAGAACATATAGTCTTCAATAAAATTAGCATTTCCACTTGCTATTTATTTTATCTTTTTGAAATACAATTGGAAAAAAAATGTGTTTGTACAACATGTAATACGTACTCAGCTTCTCGTCTTGACACAAGTATCCACTCCAACCTTCGGTGCAAGTACATGTATCAACATCCGTGCATTTCCCTTCGTTTTCACAAGGAAATTGACAAGTAGCTGAAAAAATGTGTTAAAATTTATAAATAAAAGATCAATGGTATCACGCATATTCTTAAGAAAGTTTGAAGCAAAGTGCGAAACAGAGAGCAGAAAATCAGTTGGAACCGGTTTTTTCAATTTTACGCACAGGAAAATCACCTAATCACAAATGCATGCTATGCATTGATGTTGGAAAAAACAGTTGCCAACATATTTGACTTGAATTGTTTGTCATATATACCATGTGATTAAAGTCCCAATAAACAAGTACGTGTCCTTTATTTCAATTTGTTTTCGTCAGTACGTTCGAGTTTTAGTCACATCTAAACTTTGTGTCCTCCCATTTTGATTATCGAAGCTTCAATATACCTTCATAAATGCCACATTCAGAAGTAAGACGAATACGTTTTCACCATTACTATTTCCACCATTGACCTTAGGTCCTTCTAGATTACTCTTTTGATAGGAAATACTTACGAATGTCACATTTGTTTTCAGGGATCCAACCTTTACAACACTTTTTCACCTTTACATACTCTTTCCTGTAAAACAAATTAAAACAATGACTCCCTTAAATTTTGAATCAATTAAATGAAGTTATGCAGTAAAATACGTTTCTTGTTAGAAAGAGTATCATATGTCGCAAGTATCACCTGCATAAAATGCTTAAAATAGTAGTATTATTTTCACGACGTGTAATCTGTCCACCCGAAAAATATTGCTACAGTTAACAAACAGAAAATTAACAAGAACACCAAAGTAGATCAAAAGTTTATAAATAATCGCGGGAGAAAGATGAATACAAATTAGTGGATGAAATGGAAATTTGATACAATCAAAATAGTCAATGTCATTAAAATACGTTTAATCTGTGCTTAAAGATTGAACAGGTCAGGAGTAAACCTAATCAGTCTTCCCCTTGATATTAAGTGGCAATCATCATAAAGGTTTATATGTTTTAACGCCATCATATCTTAATATAGTAATAAAACTATAAACATTGCTCGTATATAAGTTTCTTAAACGGATAAAAATTTACGTCATTGAAAAATCAAATTTCTCTCTTTCGCCAAACGTGTTTTTGCGGTTATTTATGCCATATCTTAAAGCGAACCCTTAGTTATAATACTCGTCATTCCTCTAACCAAATTCAAAAATTAAACTATAAAAAAACTATATTGGCAAATGAAAACCTATGGACCAAACAAACACAGTACTCTGGCTATTCTTTCAGCATTTCAGCTCAACAAATTAAACTATGTTCTCATTTTCCACTTTATATTTCATGAATTATTGAACTTGTTTGCAGCTTTGTAAAAAAGGTTTTTTTAGTTGGAATTGAGGAATGCAGGGTCGAATAAACACTAATATTGGTTGTTTATTTCCTTTTAAGAAAATAGACTTACCGTTTATAGATGCACATCATGTCACGGTACTTTGGATCGACGCCTTGGAAATATAACATTTGTATTTCATATCCATATACATGTATACAGAGATTGAGTCAATTTTCTAACGAGCAATGACTGTTTGTAAAGAAATATGAATATCAGGTACACATGGATAAATATTAGTTAACGAAAAAATATATTCCAGATCTCATGACAATATTTTTAACATTTTACCACTAAATGAACTTCATGGGTATCGTTGCCAATGATTGTGACTGGTGAGTAAAAGATGTGATGAATAGTTCTTATTTCTAGTCAAACAAAAATGTTATAAGCCTTGAATAGCTTGAGAAACTGATAATTACAATAAATACAATAAAAAATGGAATGTCACCACTGCAAAAGTTTATACTTTTTCAGCACGTTTTTTTCAATATTATTATTTTTTATTGAAGAAAGCAATATTTAAGATGTAGTATGGTTTGGTTGCAAAGATGTAAAATCATAACATTATTTTGGAAAAAAGATATGTCTTTGAATTGTTTTTGGCTATTTACTAGTATTATTCATACTATTAGATTCACTTGTCTCCAAAAGGTTCGGTATAATTTACATTAGAACCATGAGCATCTAAGACGTTTCGTCTTCATTGTAACTTTTCTATTTCAACGTATTCAGACAACTGATTAATGTGATCAATTTCATCTTCTGTATTCCTCTTTCATGATTTTTTTTTAAATGATTTCATATTTCGAATAACATTTGGTTAAAAGTTAAAATAAAAATGTTTCTGCAATAACTTCTGTTTTGTTTTATCTAAAGCTTCAGTTTTACAAACCCTTCGGCTCTAAGCAGTTAATGTTGGATTTGTTTCTGAAATAATCTCGATACCCCACAAGATGTTTTACAATTTCTCTTGACAACTCATTGTACAGGAATGAAGTTTTTATCAAAACAATACCTGTGACGATTTGTTTCATCTTGCTCCTTAGTTCATTCCCGAAACTCCTGCCCATATCTAGTTCCATTGATTGGTCACTTAAGACTAAATCGACGTAATTTCGACATAAGTCTCTCACATCGGTTTCCCTTGTTTCCTCGTAGTCACAGATATTAGTTCTAAAATGTGAACCAATTATTATTAAAAAAAAAATTACATTCTCATGAATGAAATATGGGAAATTATCAATTTGATAAAAAAAAAAAACAACTCATATTCGAAAAACAAAATATAACGATGTTTCCCTGCAGTAAAGACAAACTAAAAACGTTACATCATCATATGTGAACATATCAATTTAAGCATTGGCATATCAGAGATGTACTTTCTATTCAATGTATTCAAATCTGTAAAGTTTTTAGTGTCAGATGCAAATGAATCAATGGTAGTCACTGCTTTGGTACATACACTAAGGTAATTACATAACTGCACAATTGATATCAGTTTTGTTTGGAAATCTTGTGAAATAATAGCACAATTAGTAGAATTGAATTAAGCAACCCATTTCACGTGGCGCGCAGCCTTCATATGAGAAAAACATAAAGTATCAAGCAAATCTCGAACAAAAATATATATCAACAACTTGGCTGTTAAGTTAGTCAATATTACGGACTTGAACAAGAGTGTTGACACAGTGAAAACTTAAAACACAGCTATGGATTTATGTGGGGGTAAAATGATGAAATATGAGCCTACAAAAGTAGGTCTTTGAATTTTTTGGAGCTATTTACTAGTATTATTCACATCATTAGATTCACTTGTCTCCAAAAGGTTCCATTAACCTGAGAAATGTATATTGACTGAGCGGTTTTACCCTTACAAAGTCCGTAACTGTTTTATTTCATTTGTGAACAATTCATTTGTAAAGTGTGAACGTTGTATGTTCGATGGCGTGGTTGCGAGGCTCTATAATTGAAGAGGATTCGCTAGGATTATATTTCTTATATTTTTTGTTTTATTTATATATAAATGATTTTTTATATTGTTTTATTTTTTAGATGGTTATGTCGTAGGATACAGCCAAAAGGATAGAGAAACGAAAAAGTTTAGGATAAATATATCCATCACATGCTCATATTAACTACATTACCTATTATACGTGTATTACGGTATACCAAACTATCCTGAAATCCTTGAAAAAGTAAGACATGTGAACAGTTTATTTAGCTGATTTCCTTATAATAAAACATCGAAGTAGGACACATGAAAAATTCGAATGCAATACATTTCCGTAAATCAAAACAGAAGGATATGAGCTTAACGTTTAAGGACACTATGACATTTGTAGTCTTAAAAACCCAAAATCTTATTCAGAGGAGCAGAAAAATGAGTTGTACTTACCCATTTGCTTGCTGGCCGTTTGCTAAGTTCCAGATGTTTGCCGTTCCCAGGAATAAAATCCATATCACTATACTTCCTAATGGCCCAGCCATTGTCCCTTAAGGGTAAAGAGGGTAACTGAAATTTCTTCAATATCAGCAAATATATTACTGTAATAAAACTTGATAAAATCTAAGTTCTAATAACAGTTTATATCAAATTGGGAGAATTCCGAATAACAGATCAAACTCGCCTGCTTTTATACCTGCAAGCAAAGGGGCTCTAACAGATGTTCGTTCTTCGTTGTAAAGCTCCGCCCATTTTCTGAACAACTGTGTTCTGATTGGTCAATTTATTACATTCCTTAACTTTGCTTCTTAAACTTTGTATAACTCTATATAGATGTATCAATTTAACAATTTCATATCTCTACAGTTTCTGATCTGAGATTATGTAGAGAAAAATATTTATTGTTAAATATTACGTGTTATACATTTTTTTCTCATTTATATTCTTAAGTTTGAAGTTGGAACTACAAAAAGGCTTAATTTGCAATACGCAATATGCAATATAGTAAGACAAAATAATTACTTCCTGCATGCGTGAATAGTTGTGTAAGGGTTAAAGATATAGAATAATAATTTCCGATACAGCTAGACTTTATCGAAACTGCTGCAATGTTATCGTAAATATTTGTTGAATTTGCCTGATTTCTTGTATATACTCTCTAAGCTTAAAGTCACAATTGCAAAAGCACTCAAATGTTAAGTTTCATTAACTTTGGTTTTCTCATTCAACTATACAGTGTGATGAAGCAGGCCAATTCGTTTTTGCTGACTTACAAGGCATTATACAAATATTTTCAGAATGATAAAAAGATAAAAAAAAAAACAAAAAAAAACAAAAAAAAAACTATTCAGCTTTTTAAGTTCCAGATAGTCTACGTTGATACAAAATTGAAAACCGTTTCAGTAGTATTCACCGTAAGCTCTTGTTTTATGAAGATGAAATAAAATATAGTTTGATGGTAAGTTGATTTTTTTCTTCTAAAAACCGATAACATATTCCGATCAAATTTTGCAAATAGCTAGCTTTCCTGGACAAACAAGAATATGGAAACGTTTCTGTGTCAAAGGAGGAACAGACGAACAGAGTACGCGTTCTTTTGCCGGTTTCACGCTGGCGTACTTAGAGTGGTTTTCGAATCAATCGGAACATCGGCGATACCAAGTGTATTTTGTTACGAAACCCTATTGAGCTCATATTTGTATATAAAAAGGCGATACAACGCGAAACTTACGCGAAAAGTTCGCGATATACTGACGTGTTAGTTTCACATTATATCGCGTTATTTTAGCGTTACATCGGGAAAGTTTCGCATTTTTTTTGCATAATGTCATCAATTTTTTCTACAAGAGTGAACTCAATATGGGCAAATGAAGAAATCAAAACTTTTACTGTCAGCTCTCATAGTGTTCAAGATTTGGGGGGTTTTTTCTTGAGAAAATTTGAAGTAAACAAACACGAAACATTTGACAATGAAGAAACCCTATTTATATAGTTAGTAACAATATATTATATTAGTACACCGGACATAAATAAAAATGGACCCGGTATCATTTGATAAAGGGAAAGTTGATCCCTTAAGCAATTGCAAAGATATATTTAACAACAACAATAAACTGACTTTGGAGGAGAAGGGTATTTTGTTTTTCATTGACAAGACATAGGTTTATGGATTTCTTTATTTATTTCGGTTGGTTTTTTTTATTCATGACAAGACAATAAGATTTGTGTTCCCCAGTCTTAATTTGGATTCATACATCAATTAAACAACCAATCTCTTGGGTTGTGCAACATGTTGCAATTCCGTTTGTTTGACGAGTCAGTGCAACATTTTCCGTGATCTTTGTATAATAAAATCTCTACAGGGGAGGACAAAATATGTTTCAAACTAATTTCATTTTCCTTCCAGGAGATTACATCCACGAAACAGATGTTTGTGTTTTGAAAAGATACCAGTAATATTAGTTTGAAAGAGACCCTTGTGAGATAGGATTAAACCCTAATCGGCTTACAGCGGTTTCTGACGTACGGAACACGGTGTGTTCTATCATCCTTTTGTCTGGCTGACATTTATAGGTAACAGGACAATCCCCTTTTCTAATTTGTGTCGTCTTCATATCCCCGTGTGCCGACAGCTGGTTATGGACGAATCAGCAAAATTCGTATTTTGCATAACTACGCAGTTTCTGAATTAATATCTTTCATGAAAAAATATTTTGATGTCTTTTTAACATTTTTTGCAAGCCGATTTGCTACAACAAAAAATTGTAAAGGAAAGAAACATTCAATAATTTCTTTTTAACAAAAACAAAACAAATTAACTATAACATTTTAACAATATTAAATTAAAAATAACCTCATAACAATATCAGATTAACTATGACATTATTACAATATTATATTAAAAATAACATTGTTACAATATTAAATAAAATATAAAATTATGACAAAATTAAGTATATTAACTGTAACATAATAACAATATTGAAAAAATTTAATATGAAAATATTTATCAAACTATAACATTATTACAATAATCAATTAACTAAAGCACTATCACAATATCAAATTGATGATAGTATTATTACAGTATTAAATTGATGATTATATTATTACATTATTCAATACCTTCAGCATTATTACAGCATCAAATCAACGATAAAAATGGTTACATATTAGCATCTTCTTTTCTGCAGATATTCAACAATATTCAAAATCCGCCGGCCTTTTTACGTATTTATGATTTTAATGCTCATCTATATTATTCAAAATTAATACTTTGCTATAACTAGATAGGTCATCATTGACAAAGTTGGTAGGACATCATCGATAACGTTTCTTTGTTTTATGGTTGAGAGTTGGCAACACATTTTTAACGTTATTCATATCGTTTGCTTTACGGACCGAGTCCTCTGCCTGGTGCGTGTGGTCGGTTCGGTAACTAGATACTGTTTTTTTTATATGACCGAGATTAACATGGCGGGTGTCGTCAATGAAGAGGAAAAAGCTTACACCTCCGGAACACCTGGTCGTATTGCCCTTGCACTGTTTCAGGCGCCCCTTTCCCGTGGTCATATTTTGCCCTAGTTTCGTCGTTTTTGAATTCTCCTTTAACCAGCGTTCACCTGTAGCATTAATTGTTAAACACAGCTTAAATGAAATGTCTTATAAATCTTTAAACACTTATGAAATTGCAATGAATTGTCAATGAATGAAAATAATAGCAATCAAATGTATGCATACAAAATATAAGATGGAATACCAAAACATATATGTGTGCAAACATGAATCGATAACATCATAGCCTTTCACGTATTATTTAAAATGTTTCTTTTTTATTATTTCCATGTCTTGTATATGAAGACCAGTGCGGCGATAGCTTCATGTATGTGGTTAAGCGTCTGACCTAATCGATTACTAGTCTTCCATTATTGAGTAGCGGGTTCGAGGCCTACGTTGGGCAGTAGCAACGTACTGGTCACAGGTCGGTGGTCTTTCCCCGGGCACCCTGGTTTCACTTGACCACCACCAAAACCGGACAAGCCCTTAAATGACCATAACTGTTAATAGGACGTAAAACACAAAAACTAAACCGATATGAAAGTCATTGTCCACAGCATAACACCGTCCTGATGAGTATGTTAGTTAAGTGACAGATTAAACATAATAGTTGGATCTTTTACTTAATAAATACATCATAAAAAAATATTTCACAGAAAAAATGAAGATTTATTATGTCGGAATTTGTTCTTCACTGGTACACTGTATATAAATGTATTGCAATATAATGCGAAAATAGACTTAGCCAATTTTGCACATTCCTATCGCCTTGACGAATGATTTTGTTCACGCTAAATCCTGAAGACTGAAATCAATATCAATCATATGTACAATGGTTGTCTGACTACGATACAGGCTACTAGATAATGGAGTATTGGATAATGTGGTTTTCTGTGCCATATGTTGTACGCTCAGTCTTGTCAGTTGAGCGAACGACATCAAACTGTCGATTAATTACCTATCAAAGAATAGGAGACTGCGAAATTCCCCATGTTTAGGAATGAAGTCAGGCAGAAGAAAAGAAGCACAGTATAATGAAAATAAAAGAATCGAAAACATAACCGGTAACATGTTTCAGAAGCAATACACCCGGTGCGGACTTAAGGATGTACTCTTCTGAGGTTTCAATCACGTTCAAGTCTCGTTTTGATCTGATGTAATGGGTTTTTGTAATATTTAACAACTTATGATCAAGTTTATTAGCAAACACGCATCTAAAAAATATGTCAAAAAACTAGATGCCTGTTGTTTGTAGCACTTTTTTTACAAGAATTTTGAGAAATTACCAATTCGGCGGCCATTTTGAAAATGTGTATTATTGTGTAAATCTTTTGCTTCAAAAAAGGCCAAATTTTCACCTTTTTTGGCACTAGATTGATCACTTAAATTGTCATTGTGTCGCCATTTTTAATTGTAGCAGGTTCATTTTTGCTGTACAACTTTATAATGTTCAATATGATAAAAATAATATGCAACAAACTGGAAAATTATACATTATTGATATTTTTTTACGTATTTAGTGTAACTGAAGCACTTTTGATTTTTGACCCCGAAAAAACTAAAAAATAACACAAATGATAATGGGCCAAAAAAAGAAGCACACTGACCCCCCATTTTTGTAGATGTTTTAGAAAGAGAAACACGTTTTCATTTAATTCATTAAATATTAAAAAAAGTCAAATACCATAACTTTTTATATCAAGCGTTTAATCTGTAAAAAAATGGTAAAAAATGAGTATTTTTTCATTAAAAAATAGGGGGTAGCTGTAACTAAAATCGGCTTTTCGAGTTAAAACCAAAGAAAATTCCTATGAAAATCTCCGTATATCATTTACTTTTGTTTGCAACACGCTTTATCACTGGTTGTTCTAGAATCTGTCAAGTGTTGACCTTACTTTAAGAACACGTCGTAGCGCGTGCAGGGAATTCCAAACATGGGATCTGATTGGTTAACGTCAAAATCAACGTGCCATTGATTTTTTTTGTTTTTGTAAGGAATGAACTAGATAATAAATTGATCTTTCGATTGATAAACGGAT